TCTTAACTTGATTGGTATAACGTTGCAAAGAGAAAGCTGCTCTGTTGTATAGATGACTGCTGGTTACAGCTCTATTCAGCGCTGCAAAAATCAATGCTTTCTCTCTTTCTGCTCCTTCTCTCAGTATTCCTATGTATCATGTGTCTCTGAGGTAGTGGGGCACTGGCATTGATTTGGGAGGAGACTGTTGGGGTGAGATGATGCGTCATATGCCCCTCCAAACAGTCTTAAAAGCACTTGTAATGCTATTTATGATTTATGGCTTGCGGTTTAGGGGTGTGACGGTGTTGTAGATGCAGATGTCGAAACACTCGACTGCTCTATGTCTTTGGTAATGTAATGGGAGATTTCTGCACTCTCCGAACCCTCTAGTTTTTCTCCAAACTTCACATTCTAGCATTATGAGATGAGAGGAACTCCTACAGATGCATTCTTTCTTATAATTTATTTAGCCTGTCTGAGACTAAAACTCTCAGATCATTATGTCCCATATCAAACAGAATCAGCTCATATTTAAGCCAACAGAATTGTATTCTATCTATAGTAAATGCATATGGAATGTAGTTTGTATTGTATTTTAACATCTAATAGTCATATTTTCCTAGGTAAAAGCTAGGTAAAATGGATTTGTGTGTAATGGTGTCTTGGCCAATATATTGGATATTCAATTAGTTTGTGCTCATTTCTACTATTTTTACATTTAATGTGTAATTTTTAATGCTCACTTAAAGTTGATCTTTAATATTACTGATAATCTAATAACTCTGTTTAATGTAATCTCAAGATGAATATCCATTTTCCGGTCTGTATATTATAACATTGTGATGTTTAGGTTCACTTGCAGCATTTAAAATAACATATTTTAATTTATTTTTTTATTTATTTTGAATAAATATTACAGAATTTTAATATCAGCTGTTTAATGGCCATAGCATGCAGTTATTATCTATTTATTGGTATCAGCCAGAATTTTAATATTGGTCTGTTATTGTGGCACTCAACGTTAGTATTAAATTTTTTTTTTATCTGAAATGGTGTCTGTTATTTTCCTATGAAGAAAGTGCGAGTGTCCCTTATTTTCCTCTGCTGAATTTTACAACCCTAACCAAGAGAGAGACTAATAACGTTGCAGCAGTCGCAGCTGTTGTGCGGCTTCTCTCACCCACTGTGTGTGGGATGTGTGTTTGTGTATGAATGTGTGTGTTTATTAGTGTATTTGTGTATGCCTGTTTGTTTGTGAGTGAATAGGGCCAGCTGGAGACAGTGAGTGTGAGCGAGAGGACGGCCGGCTGTGTTTTTGGCATTTATAGTGCTGTGTCTCTGAATGGACCTTCACATACACGTGAACTGGAGCAGTCCTGCCCTGTCAATGGCCCCTCTTTGAGACGGTTTACCTTGATAGCTATGTGCGGCTTGTTTAGCTGGAGTATATAACTGAGCTCAGTGTGTTTAGCTTTGGCCTAAAAAAATCAGCCGTAGACTGTAATGTTCACACAGAATTCATTGGAAAGTTCTAGTGAGTAATACAGTCTAATAAAATTGATCAAAAACACTTGTTTTACAGCTTGAGATATGCATACATTTTATGTTTTCCCTTTTCCTGTTCTGGTTTCACTTACCATGGAATTCTCAACTTGACATCATGATAGATGATCTTTTCTCTATCTCTGCATTTGTTTATTATTTTTGGAAAACATTCAAACCAAAAGTTACAGAGTAAGCGGCCATTTGTCTCAGGCATGGTGAGATTTGATTTAGTATCTAATAATCTAATAATTCAAAATGGAACAAAACTATATGCGTTATCCAGATTTGTAATATTTTACAGGTGGGATTGTCTTGTCCTTTCTCTGTGTGTCATGGAATAAAATCATTAACCGGATTGAAGGCACTTGTAGTTTGAACTTCTAAAGAGAAAAATAGCTTCAAATACCCTATTTGCTCCCGTAATGATCTGTTGAAGATTTGATGAATATGAATGTAAACTCAACATAAAGCCACTGAAAAGTTTTTCTTAAGGTGACGTGGAGTTTAATGAGGTTGTAATTAGGAATTAATGAGTTTGGACTTTATAATATTGCAATTAATTTTGCATCTAAATCAGTTCATCTGTTTTTTCTTTTCTCCAAATGTTGGCAAATTTGCCCTACTTCGGTCCTGACTTTTGCTTTGAGTAAGAAAATTATTTCTTTCTTTCTTTCTTTCTTTTTGTCCTGCGTTATCAGACATATTGTCATTCTATATTAATATTTGTTTTTCTTTCCTTTTCTCTTTTGTCTGGGGAATTGAAGCATGTGACCTCAAAGGAAGTAAAAGTTCCTCAGTGAGGAGTGGGGGGAAAAGAAAAGGAGGAATGCTTTTTGAAAATGGCAGAAAAAAATTCCAATGACATAACTTTTTTGACTATGCAATTATCAATTAAAAAAAAATGAAATAAAATAAAAAAAATAGGAAAGTGATATATATGGCTGACATTGATTGTATTTAAAAATATCTCAGATCTCTGATTCTCTCTCTTTACTTTATTTTACAGATAATAGATTCCAGACCTAAATCCACTTTTGTCTGTGCATGTCAGTAGTCCATATGTCTCTTAGCTCTATTATTTATGTGTACTGAGCTGCTTGAAATTCATCTGAATTTGTAATTCCACAGAGGAGGTATGACCTCTGACTCTTCCTGCTTCCTGTCAGAATTTTGTATAACATTCCAGAACGGAGCTTGGCCACCCGTTCATTCACTCCCTTTCTCATGTGGATGAGAGGAGGGGTGAAAACAGGATACCCTACTTTTTTCACCACATCTCTCCATCTTCTCTCTGATTTCTGTTTATTTTTGCTGCTTGAATCGACACATATGTAATGGTACTAGCATGTACGATCGCCTTATTGAAAGAGTCCTTTTGTGTTCAGTGTTTTCAAAAACTTCAGATGTGAGCTGGATTTGAACTTTTGCAAAAAACCTGCCAAGCAAATCATTAAAAATTTTACCCAATAATAATAATGTATCTGTGAAAACATTTTTCTTTTTTCTTTACTATATTTCATTTTACTTATTTTGTAGATATTATGTTAAAACAGCTCATTATGTCAGCCAATTCTGAGTAAAATAATTGATATATATTATATTATATTATATTTGTGCTTTTTTTTCTCTTGTTGACAATAATTTGTGGCACACCTATTCAGACTGCAGATAAATTCACTTTCATGCTTCTGTGTAAATAAGTCTTAAAAACAGCAGGAAAATCAAAGGAATTGGTCCGTTTCGCACTTTGGCCATAATGCAAGCAATTTTCCACCATTTATGCCCATTTTCTGCTTTCCAATTCCAGCACATGTTTGGATTCTCTGTTGTGACTTAAAGAGCCTCATTGAAAAGCTATGTAATACACACACACACACACAAAACACATTCACATCCCTAATCAAGTAGCTCTCAATCAGCCACCAGGGAAACGGTCGCCACTGACGTCGAGTAATTACCCTCGTGCAACTTTAATGTGTTATAATGAAGTCCCCGTACAGTGAGCCATGTTGCCATGTAAACAAACTTAAGTTCCTTTAACCCGCAAATCCATTCGCAGAAAAGTATAAAAAGACGGTCAAGTGTGTGTTTCTGAATAACACTTCACTTATAAGCATTTATCATTATTGACAATCATTTTACTCCTTCGATATTGATGTTCCATTGTCCCATTTTAAAATCAATCTCGGTAGCTGGAGCGCGTGTATGCGGTGAGTGGTTGAAATGAAGTGCGAGCCGCAGGTAGCCAGTCACTCAACCCATAATTACTCGCTGAAGAGCATCACGCTCATTCTGATCACTTCGCCGCTCAGTATGGGGTAAAGGCGGGTAAAAAAGGATGAACGCTCAGAAAAAGTGGCGTCCCGTGGAGCGAGGAACCCGGACGCTCGTTTAGCATTCAGGGTGCTCAGCATCTGAGTGTTTTAGTGAAGCTATTAGGCCCAGCTAATGAGGACGATGGGAATGGACAAATACAACCTCTAATTCGATTCAAATGTCAGTGTGGAGGGGAGCAGCTGTTGCTGTAGTGGTCTAAAGCTCTTAAAGGTTTTGATGATTTTATGACCAAATAATGTAAAATGTTAGACATAAGCGATGTTATATATAAAAAAAAAAGTATGGCCAAATGAATGGTCTTTCAGACAAATTCGTTGAACATTAATTGAGGCTTTTAAGTCTCGTTCCCACTGAAAATAATTTCTAGTGAAGAATCACCATTGATGGTGCCACTTAGGCCTGTTCTCCCTCTGTGCCCATGAAACTGAGCCCTAGAGTGCTTTCGACGCCATTTAAATGGATTTTGAGTGTGTTTCTGAAGTTAGGTATTGGTGAGGTGTTCATTTACAAAAAAGTATGGTAACTATAGTTTCTTTAGGGCAAAAAAAAAACAAGTTACAAGTGACCCAACATAAAACCGAGAAACATGCATGCGTCCAGAAAAAAAACATACACATCAAGAACCTGTTATAATTATAATTGTGTGAAACATCAGACTATATGCTGATAGACTAATGTTCAGCCACATTTACTGTGGTTCAGTGAATTTCAAGGGAATCCAGTCATTTCAATAGGAATCCTCACAGGAATTTCGCAAAAGATTTAGCAACGGGTTCAAGTTCGTAACGTGGCTTCAGCAAAAGAATGCTGCTTGGTTTGATTCTTCTTCCTGAGCTGTACTTCATACATTGCTGTACTACTGACAATAAATTGCCAAAATGTTGCTGAAATTTTGGAAATGGCACCTTAATACAGCCACAACATAATCCAGTGTTTCTCAATGGACAACCCAACAGTGAAAAGAAAATTGCTTGTATAAAGGCAAACAAAAAAGTCCTTAAAACATTTAAATTGATTAGTATTACCACAAGCTCTATAAGCAAAATTATTAACATGGCTGTAGGCTTGTCTTTGTAGTTTGAATGTTTGGTTTCTCACTGTTCTTTCTTTCTTTCTTTCTTTCTTTCACTTTGCAGATGTAATGGCCACTCCATCTCCAGCCAAGAGTATGGGCGACCCAGGCATCACGCCACTTTCCCCCACACACATACTGGTGAGCTCTGCTTTTTATTGCCAGCATGACGTCACCCATTACATGACATCTTATTTACACTGAACTGCAATTACATGCAACAATTTAATGCTTGACATATACGTGACAGCATCTCTCTTCCTCTTTCCATATCCCTCATTTTCCCTCTGCTTCTTTTCTCTCTTTTCTTTCTACAGATGGACTCCGAAGAAAATGAGCCTACGAGACACCCCTATGTGGTGGTGGTGGCCATAGACTTTGGCACCACCTCCAGTGGCTATGCATATGCCTTCACTAAAGAGCCAGAGTGCATTCACACTATGAGGTGAGACAAAAGGCGCAGAGAGAGGGAGTGGGGGGAGACTTTTTTTCTTTTTTTTTTCTTTTTTGCATGTGATTTTACTGGGTAAAAATAAAATACAAAAAATTATTTATATATAAAAATATAATTTTTTAAAGTAATAATTTTTTTTTTATTTTTATTTTTTTAATTAAAATAAATTATACAATTATACAATTTAATAATTATATAATTTTAAAAGTAATTTTATATAATTTTATATTATTGTGTTTTTTTTTTCTTGCTGGAGTAACCGATTACCTTTTCTAGTTACTCTGCATAGACGCTGCACTCTTCTGTAGACATTAATATGATTGTCTATCCATTAGATGGTCATGTCTCTATTTCAGTCAAACACACAGGCGTCTTTCTTTCTGGGCACTAAGATGCCCCATTAAAAATGATTAGATATATACAGTCCCACTGTGTATATACTGGTCCGAAATAGGGGTGGGCGATATGACCAAAATCTTATATCACGATATGAGTAATTGTATTTCACGGTAACAATATATATCACAATATAGTTATTTTTGCTTTAAAACAATCACCTTCAACTCAACCTTGCCAAGTCAGAACTGTTTGTGGTTCCATCAAACCTATCGTTTCATCACAATTTCACCTTTTACATTCAGTTGTTCCCTCCTGGTGGAATGACCTGCCCAACTCAATCCGAGCGTGTCCTTAGCCATCTTCAAGAATCGGCTAAAAACACATTTCTTCCATCTTTATTTGACACTCTAACTCTTGCACTCTCTATTCTAATTCTATTCTTTAAAAAAAAACTTGCCCCTTTTAGACTTGCACTCTATTAATTTACTAACTGCTTGTTTTCTTTAAAAAAAAACTAACTTCTCTTATCTTTTTGTATTCTATTTGTTTTCTTTTTTATTTATTATACAATTAACAAAAGCAAAAATGGCCTCTAACACTAGCTTGCTCTATTCTTTTCCTATTCTATCTGCTTTCTTTTTATTTATTATATAATTAAAAAAACAAAACAAAACAAAAACCTTGCTACGTGTACTGCATTAAACTAACCGAGACTTGTTATAGCACTTGCATATCTTTGCTGTCTTGTTGATTTTGATTGCTTCCATTGTCCTCATTTGTAAGTCGCTTTGGATAAAAGCGTCTGCTAAATGACTAAATGTAATGTAAATGTCTTTTTTGATATCAAAATTTTTGATACCATAGAAATTTGATTTGATGATTCTTGTCACCAGTGTCAATATCACAAAAAACTAATACTAGCCTAAATTTATTTTTTTTAAAAATGAAAAAAAGAAGAAAAAAAAAACTTAAAGGCACACTATGTAAGATTTTTTTTATTAAAATATCCAAAAACCACTAGAACAGTGTTATATATTTTGCTGACTTGTGTACTTACATTATCCCAAATGTTACGAAGAATGTTTAAATCCAGAGAAATAAGCAATTTTAACTAGTGACACGGACTGTGTCCATAGTGTCATTGTGTCGCCTGCCAATGTTGTCATAACCCCTCGATTTCCGGTTTTATTTTGTAGAAACACCATGGAAACACCAAAGATGCTTTAATATGTTGTACATTTTAATAGACCGGTGATGACCGCACAGAGTAGCATTATAACAGAACTTTCATGATTCCACACTCAGTCACAGCGTCATCAAACTACGCCTATGTCTTTTTGTTTATTTTGAATATGCGCCCTCTAGCGGCGAAAATTACATATTGTGCCTTTAAGCTCACTATTGACAAGTAAACAGTCAGCGATTAAATAAGAATGAGAAACTAATTACTAGCAATAGGACAAAAAACTACAGTAGAACAAATAAATAAGAAATGCTACATACTGTACATTGTATAAAGTCAAATGTATAGAAACACTGCATATTCTTCACTGTGTAAATTTAATATATATAACTTCTTATTAAAGTTACAAAAGTGATTTAGTCAATAGTAGTGAGAGATTTTCTCTCATTTGTTGTTTGATTAACGTGAATGACAGACACTGCTGTCACTTTAAGAGCTGCCCGGGTTCCAATATACTGCTACACATGTGTTTTCTTTCTCAGCTGTTTGCTTTCACTTAAGACCTACTGTGTTTACGAGGATACTTTACAGGCATTTTGACACATAAAAGTGTGTGTATTTAACCGTTCAAGGCCTATAAAGAGGCAAAAATAACTCTGTTCAATACTCCCTTGCTCTATGAGCACCGTCTTCACAGCTCTCAGAAACAGTCTCAGACAGCTCGCGCATATAGCGAAATTAGTTCTCTTTTGCTGCTGATTGCATTTCAACGGCTTAAAATCACTTGTTTTTAAACCTTAATGCTTAAAAACGCATGCAAATGATACGTTTTCATGACCACGTGGCACAGCAACGTCACGTGAGCATGTAACCACGATAGAGACGATAGTACAAAATCTCTATCAGTTGACAAATTTCTACCGGTTAAACATGTCTACCAGTATATCGCCCACCCCTAGTCCGAACTGTCTAACATTAGTGTGTGTCTGTGTGTGTTGTATACTAGGGTAAACCCACAGCTGCTCTGTAATCCTGACCTGACCTACTTGGTCATGTGAACTTTGACTCTAAGGTCAGCTCTCCAGAGTACCTGTTGGGCAGAGTCAGCCACGTGTTTCCCGCCCAAACAGGCATGTGGGCTTAATTTTAGGCATCAGGCTCATTGTGAAAGTTAGAAATAGGATTATTTGTTAAACAGCACAAGTACATCTATAGACAGTGTCCTCACTATATATATTCACATATTTGAATAAAAGATAAAAGTTCGAGTGTAAATAAAGATATGAATAAAATTGAATATAGTGTTTTCCATTGAAACATGAAGGCTATTATATGTAAACAGATATATTTAGCTCTGACAAGCACTCTTGGCATTCATTTGTTCATGGTTAAAACATTCATATAGGATCATGATTGAGTCAACACAGTTGAGTGGGAGATTGCCCTTCTCTTGAAAGACCAGTGCCTTCCTTCAGTCTGGTTAATTCAAATTGTGGTTTGTCTGCTGCTAGAGATTTACACACCCAACACAAAAAGCCCAAGGCCTTTGAGATTATTTGGGTTGGACTGGTAGTCTAGTCCATTAATCTCTACATAAACACAGCTTCCCTTTTAAAAACTCACAAAACTCTTGTACTAAATCTGTTTAGAGTCAAGAAGACAGCTGCTTTGAGTTGGTTAACAGAGGATGAAAGGATCGACTCCCTGTCTGTCCTGATTACACAGAATTCCTTAATAATTTTTTTGTTTGTTTACAGAGACCAAAATTATTAACTCTGATCAACTGAAACCTTATGGACTATTACAACTATGCCAATAATTGCCAATTGACTTGATGCAATGCTGGTTATACAGTGCCCCCAATATATATGTAGACATCTAATATGTATAAATTTTAGTGCATAACATAACAAAATATTAAAGCAAGCAGCAAACATTATATCCTTTTCTCAGAATTAACTTTTTCCATTTTTTAAGAGCTACATTGTCATTTTTTCAATAATTTTTACTGGTTGGTCTCAGTATAATTTTAGTGGATCTATGAAATCACTTAATTATTATAGGGTGTATGAAGTCATTTCTCTATTATGATCATTTTGGCATATGTGATTCTCTCTATGTCAGTTCAGACAGTCAGGCTGCTTGTTCTGTGCCTCGTCCTGGAAGTAAAAGCCCATGAATATTTTAAATGCCTCTGACTCTGTACGATGCCTGTGCTGGTTTTATGACTGCCTCGATATGGATAATGAGGATGATGATGCTCTGTTGAGTTGAGTGATATTTTAGGTCATCTTAGGTCAGGTCTCTCCTAATTAGGAGAAGAGGTAAAAAGCTATAGCAGCTCCAAATTCTGCCCAGTGGAATTATTTACTGGCTGATCCCTTTAGATCTTTGTAAAACTCACTCTCCCATTGGTTGATTTCCCTTTGTTGCTAGGCGCTGGGAGGGTGGGGATCCAGGTGTGTCCAATCAGAAGACGCCCACCACCATTCTACTGACCCCAGACAGGAAGTTCCACAGTTTTGGTTATGCAGCCCGAGATTTTTACCACGACCTGGATCCCACTGAGTCTAAGCAATGGCTCTACCTGGAGAAGTTTAAAATGAAACTACACACCACTGCAGTAAGGACAAACTCATACAGTATGGATTTTGTATTATTGTTGGACCTGAGGGGACTTCGTGTCCCAGCACATTTACGTGTTAAGGAAATTACTGATCATAAGTGTGAGGACTTCTCTTAAAATATGCTTCATGCCTGATATATTCAAAAATTACCGCTACCGCGTAATTTGTATAACAAGTACTGCAAGCAAATGAATAACTCATTACTAAGAGGTTAACCAATCAAAGCTTCATGAAACTGAAATAATACTGTTAAAGAGTTTTCTAATATATTACATTTAACATAAATCTCTAAACCCAGGGTGTCAAACTCAGTTCCCGGAGGGCCACAGCCCTGCACAGTTTAGATATAACCCTAATTAAACACATCTGATCCAGCTAATCTAATCATTTAGGCTTATTTGAAAACTACATGGTATGTGTGTTGGAGCAGGGTTGGAACTAAACTCTGCAGGGCTGCGGCCCTCCAGGAACTGAGTTTGACACGCCTGCTCTAAACTATATTTTCCTCTGAGTATATTTTCCTCATTGGGAATGAGGTGATAAGTCTATCAAGTCTATCAAGTGTATAAATACATTTTGATTGACATGTCATGCTTTTTCTTGTTTCTGAGAGGTGTTATTGTCATTTTGTCTTCTTCAGAATCTGTCCATCGATACAGATTTACATGCAGCCAATGGGAAAAAGGTGAAAGCTCTGGATATTTTTGCTTATGCTCTGGCCTTTTTTAAGGAGCAGGCTCTTAAGGTATGTTTTAGTACCATTATCATCTAGGACATTCAGTTTAAACCAGCCTACTTGCATTATTTTAACATGTACTCTACCATTCAGAAGTTTGGGGTTGATAAAATATTTTTAATATTCTTGAAAGAAGTCTCTTTTATGTCTATCAAGGGTACATTTTTATACAGTAAAACTAATATGTGAAATATTGTATAGTAAATATTAAATGTTCATGTAACTATTTTCTATTTAAAAATTTTTTTTAATGTAATCTATTTCCGTGATGGCAAAGCTGAATTTTAAGCAGCATTACTTCAGTCTTCAGTGTCACTTGATCCTTAATTATTATTGTCAAAAATATTTTTGTGGAAACTGATACATTTTATTTCAGGATTCTTTGAATAGAAAGTTCAAAAGAACAGCATTTATTGATACACAATCTTTTGTAACATTTTAAATGTCTTTATTGTCACTTGATCAATTTAATTTGTCCTTAAACTGTCAAACTGACCTCAAACTTTATCAGTGTGTCAAAAATGGATTTTTGTCATTGGATACAGGAGCTGAGCGACCAAGCAGGGTCAGATTTTGATAATGCTGACGTCAGATGGGTCATCACAGTACCGGCCATCTGGAAAATGCCGGCCAAGCAGTTTATGAGAGAGGCATCGTATAAGGTATAACATTTCTTTCTCACGGCCACATATGCACAAACATGCACATCTCACTTTGATTAACGACCTACTTTGTGTTTTGAAATTGGATAGAGGTCTGTGTAGAATGTGTTTAATGTGTTTTCAATTAATGTAATGTTTAAAGTATTTTCACACAAGTTTGAAGGATGGGTTGGTTGTACAAATCCAAAGTGGGTGTTGGCACTGAGTTGTGCTATGATCTTCCCCTAGTGTTAGTGAGAGAGGAGGAGGTAAAGGAGCACTATTTTGCTGCCATGTCCATCTCAAATAGAAAAGGAATGAGATATACAGAAATACATGATGTAGAGAGAAAAAGCAGAGAACGGAAATGGAAATAGGAAAGACAGTGATCTCATCTCTTAGATACAGGCACTGTTTGTCTGTTTTCACTGTCTCTCATTGGACCACCTTAGAGACCCCATACATGTGAAGCTGATTCACTCTTTGTCTCTGTCACAGTTGCCACCATTGTGATTTGTGAGAGCATGTGTGTGTGGATCTGTGGATGACTGGGCAGTGTGTGTCTAGGGTATGTATTTGTACTATATTGATAAGATATTTACACCTGGTATTAACATCTGTCATCGGTGACCTGATTACAAGTGGCGAGATGGATCGCTGTTTACACCTGATTTTTACATATCACACAAGTGTTTATCACATGCAACTGAATTTTAATATTCGGCATAAAGAAGATGTTCTGTGAAGAACTTTTAGATCATTCATTTTATTATTTTTATTTTGTCATGTAACTGGCAAAGTTTAAAGCTTTGTTTTAGCACAATGATTGGTTGTGCTAAATGATTGGTTGTGCATTACTTACACAAGTAAGTAATGCTTTAATGTTATCCAGGATGCATCTGGACAGATTAGTGTTTCCAATATAAATGTGATGTGGTCACAAGTGTTCTCAATTGCTCCCCATTTTGCACGTGTATTTAGTGCTTAACACTTGTGATTGAATGCCTGAGGTGGATGCAGATGTAAATGGAAGCAATAAACATCAAGTCAAAAGGAAAGAGAAATGAGAGATTGAGAAACAAAGCCTAGAGAAAATGCTATTATTATTAAGTTATTATTGCTGCTTATTCCATGTATGACAAATATATAAAACATAATTAGGTTATGCATAATTATGTAATGCATTATTCAAACAAACTGTAAAGACTTTATTTACTTTATATGATGTGCATGCAAATTATAATAATCACAGTACAGTAGTCAACAGAGGGGTGAATTCTCTCACACTGAAGAGAGAGACAGAAAGAGCAGGGTGTGGCTTTGGTGTCTTTCATCTCAATCCAAAGGAAAGACAAAATGAGGCGGGGAAGACATGAGTGAGTAAGCTACATAGATACACAGCAAGAAAAGAGAGAGAACAACAGGAGAAAGAGCAGAGAAGAAGGGGGAGTTTGCAACACCTGATATCTGCAGTGGGAATTCCTGCAAAGCTTGCCTCAGGAGCGTGTGTGTGTGTGTGTGTGTGTGTGTGTGTGTTTGGTGACTCAGCTCTCCGTCTGCAGGATCAGGAGAACAGAAAGAAAGGACACTGCATTCCCTCACCTCTGTCTCTCGCTCTCTGCATTTTGCTCACACTGTCGCCCCATAACTCACCAAACAGCAAACAGTGTCTCTCAGCAGTGTGTGTGTGTGTGTGTGTGTGTGTGTGTGTGTGTGTGTGCGACTGTGTGCATGTGTGTGTGCGTGTGTTTTTTTTGTTTTGTTTGTTTTTTTACATTTTTACACTTCCTCATATTTGAAGTGAGGTAAAATGATCTTGATATAACTGAACAGCCATTTGTGTCATTTAAATATTCATTTACCCAGCAAGTGAGTTATGACCGTTAATATTCAGGTCAGGATGTTTAGAGTTGTGCTGCAATAATTGTTTTAGGTTTATACGTAGTTCACTTCAACCAATGTCCTGTAGAGTGACATGCTAATGTGACATTTATTAGTTTATTTAATTATTTTACTCTTAATGTTTATATTATTAATATGTATATGAATTTAAAAACTGCAAAGTAAATACAATACTGAAAAAATAAACAATTTGAGGTCAGCCCTTATTATACTTATATTTAGCAAAAATGTTAATGTTATTAGAAAACATTTATTTTACCGATTTTACAGATTTACAGAAAGTACAGTTAAATAAAGATAAGTAAATGCTAAGTAAATAAGTAAATGTTTAGATGAGTAAATGTGAATTTACTGGAGTCTTAACGGTTACTAAGAATAAATGTTCGTATTTATTCATATTGATCAAATGAAAGCTTCATTTATAATCATTTGTATGTTTTATGTATAAGTCAAGATGAGCCTGGGTTTCAGGCTCCTGTTTTAATGTCTTGCCGTTGTGCTGTGTACTCATCTAGGCTGGTTTGGTTTCTCGTGAAAACCCTGATCAGCTGATCATTGCTCTGGAACCAGAGGCTGCGTCCATTTACTGCAGAAAGCTCCGTCTCCACCAAATGGTTGATTTGGGCAACAAAACGGCCTTGAACGGTTACAGCCCGACTGAGAATGTTGGGATGGGAATGACCCAGGGTAAGCCACCTATATCATCTTTTACCATATTACAGGTGAACCACAAGCATTCTGCTATGAGGATAAACCAAATCATACTCATACTGTTCCAGTCATGCTCAAGTTTATGTCACAGTACTTAAATGTTTGTTGAGTATAATTTTGTCTATGTGTTTTGATGCCACCAACCTTTGACCAGTGATTAGTTCTTCAAAAGGCCAACTAGTCTGTTGGGCTGGTCATGATGTAGGGTCTTCTTTTTGAGAGATATAGACAGATCTAGCAAAAATGTTTGAACAAGTATAGCAAAGTAGTAACTTTAAAGATGTTTTTCCATTGCTCAGTATAAAATTATCAATTTTTTCCAACATCCACTCCTTCCTAAAGGGGAGTTTAAACCAGATTAACAGTGCAATGGAAATCAATTCTAACATTTTAAACTAGCAGTGAAATGAGGATTACTCCTGAACTAGAACTGCAGGATTCCTGCAGTCCAACATGCCTATTAAACTCTCACCGCAGTGAGGGAGAGAAGCCAGGTGATCATGCATGCAGAAAACTGTGGGAGGGAGGGATAGATGGATGTTGCATGTACATTACTGTTCAAAAGTTTGGGTCAATAAATTGTTTGTAAATAAATACTTTGAAAACTTTTAAAATACTTTTATTCAGTAAAGGCCCATTAAATTGCTCAAAAGTGACGTGTATTGTTACAAAAGATTTCTATTTCAAATAGATGCGTTTGTCAGAATTCTGATGAATAGATTTTTAAATATTAAAATAGATTTAAACAGCTGTTTTAAAATGTAATATTTTACAATATTACTATTTTACTGTATTTTTGATCAAATGAATACAGCCTTGGTGAGCAGAAGAAATTTCTTTCAAAATGTATTCTTAAAGGCCCCAAACTTTTGAACTCTAGTGTATTTACTACCATGCATGAACACACAGATGCCATTTTATGGTATTTCAACTATGGGCACCTTTACTTTCCCAGGGGTTGATGTTTACATTTAAAAATAATAATAATAATTATTATTATTATTATTTATCTCATTTATTTATTATTTACTTTGCACATGCCTTTTATATATTTTTTTTTTTTGGACTGATTCTAGATTAAATTAATTAGCCATAAGGCAAATGGACAAATTAAATAAACTAGTATGAGTGTGAAAAGTGTGATTTAAAGGAGTCCACAGGGTCAGAAGTGCCCATAGTTGAAGAAACATCCTACATTCCACAGTAAATATGCTGTGAACAGTTTATGTCACATACCAAAGTAAAATGTAATTGCGTCAAATTCAGGCATAAAGGTGTTTTGTATAGAGACAGAGCATTTTTTTCTTTCAGTCCATTCCAGTTCACCTCCATTGCCCTGCTCATGTCCTTATTACAGACTGACAGCACATGCACATACACAGTGGGCTTTATATAAAAAAAAGTATTTTCACATGAGTATATAGCATTTTAGTGGCCTGTGATTTTAGAAATGTCAATGAAAAGTCATTTTTCATGTGCATTCAGAAGGTAACAGTCACTTGGACCACTGCTGAATGGTGATGCCAGCATGAGAAACAGCTTTGCAAATTCACAATGCCTTTCCCTCTCTCTTCCTAAGTTTGCATGCACATTTATTCATAATCTTGTAATTGTTTGAGGTCATGCCTTGCATTACCTTACCCACATTTGATAAAATTGTAATTATTATTGGTTAATGTCAACATTTAAGCATTTAAGAATGATAAGAATGTTATTTGGTCCATTATGTGTCTGAGACAGCTAAAGCAGAGCTATCATTCCTGTAACAAACTATATCAGTGGACGTGTACATATATGCAGTGACCTTCGTGTGACATCAGTGACCTCAGTCTGATGACATCAGCAGCTCTACAGTCATCAGCAAGCACATCTGTAACTCTAAACCTCTGCACGTACAAAAGGAGTGACAGAGAAAGGATTTTGTGCTTTTAAGTTGAAAATAACAGCAAAAGTTGCAGTAATGATGCAGTAAGTGACAAATAAAAGAGGTGAAATATGTGAACTAAATGATCATAATGCATTCGAAAGGAGTGTGAAATCGCATTTGACCTCTTTGCATATGCTGATAGATAGAAAGGGAGAAAAAGAATGGATGAAGGACAAAAGAGTAGTGTTTATTGATTACTCTACCAGCAGTAGTATTTGTGCTCTGATAGCCTGTATATTTGATATTCAATGGTCAGCAATGAAAACGTGGTTAATTTTAGATGGCGTTGAGAGCCTGAGACAGGAAGCGATTGTGTGTGGCGACCTGTTGTGGAGCAGGGCAGCAGTGAGCAGCACAGAGGGGCTGTCTGTTTGACATACATACTGTACAGGGCGGTCAGAGACAGGCAGGAGATAATGTGTCCCTCTGAGGGATGTCTCACAGAAATTATTGAGCATCTGAATGTGTTTTTTCATTTATTAGAGATGTTCAAACGACATTTAGAAGTTTGGGGTCAGTAATGTATTTTAATGTTTTTGAAGGAAGTCTCTTATGTTTGCCAAGGGTGCATTTATATGATCAAAATACAGTAAAAACAATGATATTGTGAAATATGAATACGATATAAAATAACTTTTTATTTTAATATATTTTAAAATGTAATTTATTTCTGTGATGGCAAAGCTGTCATTACTCCAGTCTTCAGTGTCACGTGATCCTTCAGAAATCATTCTAATGTGCTGATTTGTTGCTCAAGAAACATTACTTATGAATATCAATGATGATTTTAACAATGTTAAATGTTAACAATCTGTCTTAATCTGTTTCTTAACCACATTTGTTAAACGTTTAATTATTGTTAGTTGATGTCAACATTTGTGCTGCTTAATATTTTTGTGGAAATCATGATACATTTTTTTCAGGATTCTTTCTCTGTACTTGTTTTATTTGAAGTTAATGCATCTTATTTATTTATTTATTTATTATTATTTTAAAAAATCTAAAACCAAAGAAGTTTATGATCTCTTGTTGAATCCACACATGTTGTTGTCACTGACTTGATGTTTAGATCATCTAAAATAGGCTTCGAATGCAATGAGTGTTGAATTTGCTATCGAGGTGGTACAGGAATTTCAGATGTGAGTCTGTTGTGTGGTTTAAACACTGCTAGTTTGAGTGGTTAGGTCTCTCACGCCCCATCAGAAGCTGTCACTGTACTGAAAAAAGGTCTGCTGGTCCATTTCATTGTTTTCTGCACACTTGAGGAAATGTCCGTCTCCATGCCGTTACTCTCTCTTAGAGCTTACACTTCCTGTTTGGGCATGTTTACAACTGCCAGGATGGCCATTATCCACTGATGTCATCAGACCAGCTGCCCTTTATCAGACCAGGACAATCTTCCCCTCCACAGTAAATGAACAGAGATTTTTACATTCTGGTCACAGTCAGGAAGTTCACAAAAGTGAAAAAGAGAGGAAGTCTTTCAGTGGAATAATCGTGGAAAGATGCACTAAATATTTAAGACTTACTGGTTTAATTGCAATGTTGAGCTATAATTATACTTTACATATCAGGCTTTTAGTTAAATATTTACTTATTTGCAACATAAAATGGTTGGGCCACTAATAAAATGAAGTAATCTAAATTAGAATCCGATAATCTAATGCAGGTTATTTCAATTCATTTGATTAACAGTGTCTGTATTACAGGAAAAATGCACAAAAATGTTTTCCCCCCCAACTAAAGAGAGTTGCATGTTTGAACATTTCTAGGGATGCACAATATATTGGTACCATAGCAGTCATTGTCCGATATTAGAAATTTTTTCATTTATTGGTATCAGTTGATATTGGATATTTAATTGTGGATAATCGTTAAAGTTACTCTTTAAAATACAATTTAACAATGTAAACACTGTTAAATGTAATAATTAGCATATCACAAGAAATATCCATTGTTCATGCTGTACATTTATAATGTTGTGATGTCTAAATTCACTTTTAGCATTTAAAATTATTTAAATATTTAGTGTTTAAGTTGTAATTTATTATAAATTGTATGGAATTTTATTATCGGCTGTAACAGGGAAAGAATTATCAGCTAATCCAGTACAACCAGAACTTTAATATTTTATGTCCCTAAAATTGAAGTTTTAAATAAGTAAGTAACAAAACATTACAGCAGTTTCACTGCTTTTCTTGAAATTTCATGAATTTGCCTGAAGTTAAAGGAGTCTTGCATTCTATTGGAACTTCTTTTCCAGCAGCATCCCCCTGCTTACAGAAACCACATTCAGCCCATGTTCCTTTTTCATCCTGTCGCATTGCCTATAGAACTGCCACACACACACACAAACAGCTTCACGCTGCCTTCCCTCTCACACACACTTCCTGTCTCTCTCTGTCAATAACCAGCCAAGGAGCATGTGCGCCGTAATCGACAGAGCCGTACCTTTCTGGTGGAGAATGTCATAGGAGAGCTCTGGTCTGAACTCACTGAAGGTAGAGTCTGTCTTCTCACACACATTTTTTTTTCTTGTAGTATTTTGCTCCTGCTGTTTCTGATGCTGCTGTCATACAGTAAGTTAAGAAATCCTAAATTCTGAAGCTCTTAGGAAGGATGCACACTAGTCTCACATAGCCAGAGACCTTTCAGCAAAAAAAAGTACTTCAGTGCAGCTTATTCTGCCCAAGAACCACCAACTCAAACAGGAAGAGACTGTCTGACTGACATGTAAAGCGACCAATTGCTGTTTGGTTTGTTTTAATGCGTGGTTGTATATAGATAATGCATTTAAAAGAGTGGAAAATGTGTATAGGCAACAGGTTTAGAATTTTAGCCTGTCTGTGCATACACTGTAAAAACTGACATTTGTGATTAAAAAAATAATAATGATAAAAAAATAAAAACAGCTGTGGTTGCCAGAGGAAAAAAAAAACAGTAGTACAATTTTTACAGGTTGAACTAAAATTTGCAGTAAAAAAAATTACTGGAAATAAAAAAAATATATATTGGTAACACTTTATTTTGGGGTTTCTTAACTAGTTGCTTATTAGCATGCATATTACTAGAATATTAGCCATTTATTAGTACTAATTAAGCACATATTAATGCCTAATTCTACATGACCTTATTCTACATCCCTAATCCTACCCAATACCTAAACTTAACAACTACCTTACTAACTATTAATAAGCAGCAAATTAGGAATTTATTGAGGGAAAAGTCGTAGTTAATAGTGTTCCCTATTCTAAAGCATTACCGAAACATTTATTTCAATCAAAAACTGTCAAATGTGAGCTATCACAGACAATTCTGTGAATTTCTTGTCAGTTTATTCATTTTTTTCACTGTAAAAGGTGACAGTATTTTATTGTAAAATTACATTAAATATCCCATTAGATCAATTACAGTTTTTCACCATAAACAATAAGGGAACTTACCGTTAACCAATTAACAGGTTTTTAATGTAGCATTTTTATAGTCTTTTACCGTTATGATTACGATCACTGCTGATTATTTCACAGTCAGTCAGATTGGAACCAAAGATTTTTGCCAGCACTTGCTATTTTTGCGTGTAATATGCATTGGACAGTCAGCAAACAGACTGTGGGTGGTCCTTGAATGTGTCTATTGAGACTAGATGCACCCTTGCTGAGAAGATAAGATGCTTAGTTTGAAATCCCTGCTCTGGTGAGCCCTATACCCTTATTCTGCTGTCTGAATCAGCAGCTGCTCAACCATCAGTATTGCCTCAGCACACTTTGCCTATTCATCACTGCTGGAATAACCCCCACGCAAATTAAAATTCTTCAAAATCATTCAAATTTCAGTAAATTTTCTATGTTAAAGGGACAGTTCGCTTAAAAAATGAAAATGAAGATATTTTGCATAATGTCCAATATGCTCTTTTATGGAAAAAGTCATATGGGTTTGGACCATCATGAGAGAGTAAAATTTATTTTCCCATTTTTTGGGTGAACTGTCTCTTTAAATATACAGTAATCTCATACAGTCAGTTTGTGAATATTTAACAGAACCTACATAGAATTTTAATTCCAAAGGCTTCTACTTGAGGTACCAATCAGTGAACCCTGAATGTAGGTCACTGTTCCTCTGACACCTTGCAAAAGTACTTGGCGGACATGTCAGCGTCACTCACATCCAACATCTGCAGAGAGTTCCTGAAAAAGTGTCAAATGTCACCAGACGAGATGCAAATCCATCCTGATGAATTTGTTTTTGCTGGTGACCCTCAAATGTTGTCTCTGGTGCTCTCTAGGTGACCGTTATGTGGTTGTGGATTGTGGAGGAGGGACGGTGGATCTTACTGTGCATCAGATCCGCATGCCTGAAGGGCACTTGAAGGAGCTTTACAAAGCCTCAGGTACAAGACAGCTTTTATGACCTTTAGTTTAAGATTAACATTTTGCTTAAAAAGCTTTTATTTCCTATCAAAAGTGGTCTGCTATTCTGAAATGTCATTATTTTCAATCATCCGAAATGATTTTTATCTTTCCATTCTCTCCGCAGGAGGCCCATACGGCTCTATCGGTATAGATTATGAATTTGAGAAGCTCCTGTGTAAGATATTCGGACAGGATTTCATTGACCAGTTTAAGATCAAGCGTCCTGCTGCCTGGGTGGATCTGATGATTGCGTTTGAGTCTCGTAAGAGGGCGGCGACTCCTGACCGAAGTAACCCGTTGAATATTAACCTGCCCTTCTCTTTCATCGACTACTACAAGAAGTTCAGAGGACACAGCGTAGAGCATGCGCTGAGGAAGAGCAAGTGAGTGTCTAAAACGCTGTATTAGAAATCACCCATTAATACAGTCCAGGCGAGTTTGATGCATTTCTCTGTATTCATAAAGTGGTGACTGTTGTGAGTCCTGCTGACTCTCCGCCTTTGTGGTAATTGTTGTCTGTCTCTTTTGAGGTCAGGCATGTGTGACCTACAGCCCCTGGAGAGTTAATCTGTCTATTCATGACTGCTGTCAATACCGTACACACAGCCATTCAATAAGCCATCAGGCCCTGTGTAAAGATGGCCAAGTCAGCTAAATGAATACTATGTTTTTTTGTGTGTGTGACTGCTGACTATGTGCGAAACACTCATAATCAAGGGGCATAGGAACAAGAAAATCTAAAAAAGGGGAGAGAGAGGGCACATTATGTATTATTTTCAGCTCGTCATGAATATTAATTTATGTAACTTTCAACCAGTAGCTCTAACAGATTTGCTTATAGGCAAGTAATTTTGTTAATTAGATAATTGCTTACAGAGGCTTCTGTCTGGTAGCATCATAATTTTATGCATGCGGCTATAATTTCTTAGCATCGCAGCCAAGAGATTACATTTAGAGTCTTCTAAAACTAGTTGTAATGGCTGCTTCCTGAGCAAACGTATCAGATCTGACACAAAATCCAATTAAGAGGCAAAATTATCTAGTTTTATCTTTCTATTATTTCAAAAATGTGAACCTGGTTGCATCGTTTAATGGTTAAATTTTTGTATTCTTTCCTAACTCAGTAATTAGATAATCATTTGCGAGCCATGAGTAAGACTACTCTAACTTGCATGTTATGGATTTTGAGCTCTCATGTCTCACAGGGGACAGTTTTTCCAACAAGCCTGCGAGTCAGGCATCTCTGAGCACTCGACTCGTTCAGCCCTGCATCAAACTACACAGCGCGGCCATATGGGAATATGTGCATCTGTTTACTGGAAACCACAGCTATTAGCACACATGCACTGACATTTATAGCAGTGGAAAACCTAATAATGTAAACTCAATAATATCAAGTTTCTCAATATTCTTCCATATGTGAAGATGACTTTTAAACTGCACCGAGGCCAAATGAGGAGAATCTGTTATTTGTTTCAGTCTATAACTCTCGCTCTCTCTGTTTTTGTCTCTCCTCTGCAGTGTGGACTTTGTGAAGTGGTCTTCGCAGGGCATGCTGAGGATGAATCCAGATGCAATGAATGCACTGTTCAAACCAACTATAGACCACATTATACAGCACCTGAGTGAGTAACTACGCAGTAATTTGCTGGAACAATAATATGATATTGATTTCTAGAGTTTAAAGTGAGATGGGAGTGTCAGTTGTCTGTATTTGGGTGTTAAAGGGAGGGCTTGCTACATGCGTCATGAAACCCACTGAAATAAGAATTATATAAGTGATTAATTATAATACATTTTTAATAGTATTTAATTAAATGATTTAATTCGTCAGGATCAGATCATGGTTATTTATTTAATTGTCTTTGTATGTCAGATGAAATGGCATCAATATTTAACCAGAAAGCTGTCAAAAAGTATAAATCCATAGTGAAGGTGCACCAGTAAGCAAGAGTAACCAGAAATTTAGCTGAAAGTTTAGACACAATTAGGGCAAGCATTGGCCCAGTCAGGGAAGTCTCAACAATCTGCCCAAAATACTCTCACAGAACTGGGTCAGAACTCAGTCCCTTGGCTCTTATGTTGGTTGAGCCCAGCTGTGATCTGTATCTGTTCAAACAAAAACTACAAACAGGGACACCACTGCTAGTAAACTGAATTTTTGTCTTTGTCATTTTGATGAAAACCGAAGGAGTGCATAACATTCTTTGGTTAAATTCCCATGTGTTAAAATGTTTTGTGATGAATCTTGTAATGGACTAATTTTTCTCTGAAAATCCTGTTTCTCTGCTTTCATTCTTCTATATGTTCTCCAGCTGAATTATTCGATAGGCCAGAGGTGACAGACATTAAGTTTCTTTTCCTGGTGGGAGGATTCGCAGAGTCTGCTCTGCTGCAGCAGGCGGTTCAGAAGATGCTTCAGGGCCGCAGCCGAATTATTATTCCGCATGACGTGGGCTTGACCATCCTCAAGGGGGCGGTGTTGTTCGGCCTAGATCCCAGCGTCATAAAGGTGCGCCGCTCTCCACTCACCTACGGCGTGGGCGTCCTGAACCGTTTCATAGAGGGGAAACACCCGCCGGAGAAGATGCTTGTGAAGGGCAGTACGCGCTGGTGCACCGATGTCTTCGATACGTTCATCTCTGTCGATCAGTCGGTGGCGCTGGGTGAAACGGTAAAACGCAGCTACACGCCGGCGAAGCCGTCACAGCAAGTGATCGTCATTCACGTATACTGCTCAGAAAAAGAGTCGGTCAGTTTCATCACGGACCCAGGCGTGAGGAAGTGTGGTACACTGAAGCTGGATGTGAGCGGTACTGAGAGTCCGGCGGCACGAAGAGAGATCCAGACGCTCATGCAGTTCGGAGACACTGAGATAAGAGCCATGGCTGTCGACGTGGCAACCTCTCGCAGTGTCAAAGCGAGCATCGATTTCCTTAGTCAATAGAAGAAGATGAGGGATGAGTAAACCACACACTGCAGAAGCTCAGCATTTTCGTTTTCCAGTAAAAACATCCAAACATCCTTAAAACATGATATGTTTGTTACTTTTAAAATTGCCAAAGTGACTATAGAGACATTTGTTATAAAGGATTTCTATTTCAATCAAATGTAAATATACGTTAATCACAGAATCCAGAAAAAAACATATGTATCACGCATTCCACAAAAATATTAAGCAGCACAACTCTTTTCAAAAATAAGAAAAGTATCTTAAGCGCCAAAGTAGCATATTCAAACGATTTCTGGAGAATCATGTGACAGAAGGCTGGAGTAATGTTAATAATTACATCTTTTTGCAAATTCTTTTATTTTCTTGTTACAAACATAAACCACTAAATCGTTGATTTATGCTTACAACAATAAAGAAAAAACTATAGGGTAAGAAAAACTTAATTCAAGATGTATTCTTTAAAATAGTATTATATCTTGTGCAGTTTTGCCTCTCAAGTACTTATTTTTGGTTTAAAGTATGTTTAGATATTTTGACTGGAAAACAAGACAACATGCTGAGTAAAATGTTGACAGTGTAGAAGGATAGATGAAAGAAAGAGAACATTTAAAATAGAGAATGAACGAGTCTCAATTAATACCATGTTTGCTGACCTTCCATGTGGCATTTGCTTGAATAGTTGTGCCATTCATGTTATTTTATTTGGTTATTTCATTTCTGATCCACAACTGAACTCAACAAGATGAAACTTCTCATATTTGGACAAAGCTGAGTTCATTTTGTCTCATCGACACTCATCTAGGCTGAGTCCCTTATTCTCTGTATGCTTCTATTATAGTCTATTTGTAGTCTTAGTGGCTATTTTCTGCACAGAGATGCAAACTCTGCATGGATAGAGCCAAAATACAGCTGCGTATTGCTAGTAGTGCAATTTGGGATAGCACTCTATAATAACTTAGCAAGACAAGTTCAAGTTAAGGCAGCTACATTAGTCTTATATACACACCATGGCAGAAATATAATATTGTTCTCTTACAAAACATACTGCTTTGCTCCTAAACTCTGGTCTGTTATCTCCAGGGCCCAGTCTAGAACCAGTTCATTCATTTAGGTTATGATGAGGAGGTAAAGCAGATGGTTTTGGCTACTGGACTAGTGACCAATTTGTTAGTCTGAAACAGAAACTCAGTATGTTCTTCATCGCAAACATTTAGGACTAACTTTGAGAATGGTACCGAAACCTGAGCTACACATCACAAAGGTGCTGATTCCTGTGACAAAATTACCATCAGTTTGTCACACTAGTGCTACAGGACTACGTGGCAAAACACTTTTTTTTTTTTATTGTTCTTATGTCTCATGTGGAATTTTTTTCTGTTTTTTTTTTTTTTTTGTATGTCAAGGCATTTTAGGAGTTCTGGACAGTGACTCTGTTTGTCTCGAAATTCAGCATATCTTCATATTGTTGGTCAGTATGTTGCTCTAAGCAGAATGAGAACGCATAAATCCTAGAATGTGAATCTTAATCATTGTTTGAAGTGGCAGTGACCGAGAAGCTGCTAGCTGTACCTGCAACATGATTTGAAACGATAGCCATTGCTATATGCTAGTTGCCTTTAATCCTGCTCCTCAGAAAGAGAAGCCACAGATTTATTTTTTTCTGTTTTTATTTTCTATTTTTATTTAGGAGATTATTTTGGAGAATATGTGACAAATGAAATGTTTATTTCTGTATATACAGTATTTAAAGATATTGTACAGGTTTTTAGTGTTGTTTTCGCATTATCGGCTTTATGAGCAGTGTGTGTATGCAGGCCTTAAGAGCACACATTCTTTCTTCCACTCTCACCAGCCTTCATATGGATACTAAATTCATTTATTAACCTAATCCAAACCTGACCCCCCCCCCCAACTGAAATGTAATCCCATTCCCAAAAACCATAACTTTACTTTAACCCCAAACTACACCCCTATGTAGACCAAAATAATCCCATTTGAAACTTAACCCCAAACAAACCTCTAATTTCCCATTCCCATTTTCCAATTCTCAAATGCAGTTGTGTGAAATGCCTTTGTTGCTCTATATTTAGAAATTCACAAGACTTGAAGGCCTTTGACCTTAACAACTTTAATCGCAGTTATCATTTGAAATAAGAACTTTGTGTATATTTTGGTTTGGGAAATGAGGTGACTGATAGTTTGTGGTATGTATGTGGTCTGTAGATTATGCCACTAATGACAGGCAATATTTGTGTGTTTGGTTTGGAAGATACTGAGATAAATGCGACTCTAAAAAAAATGCAATAATGGTATTGCAATGTGACGTTCCACATTTTATTCCCACTGATTCCATCATGCTATTCTGCCAATGTGAAGACTGTGTCAAAGCTTCAGCTGCAAAATTGTAATGTTGCTATGGAAATGTATTAATCAACCATTTTAAATCACTGAGGTGATGATAACTGAAAAAAATGATTTTTATTATTTGAAAGTCAGCATGTAACTCAACTATGGCGTTCTTTGAGAAATCTGTCATGCAGTTGCTTTTCCATAGATTTGCAATAGCAATACAAGACAAGAAGCGCCAAATAGTTTTCGCACAGGACAATTAAAATTTGTGATAGCACAGATCCTGAATCAAAAGTTTCCCTCTAAAACATCATACAAAGCATCTGCCAGGGTGACCACAGATTGTGAATAAAACATCATCAAACAATATAATATCATTAAAAATGAAAAAAAAAAAAATAGCAAGATACACGCAGGATAAAATGCTAAAGCTTCTCAATGTAATCTGGATTTGCTGCTCATGTGATTGTTAATTGCAAATAATTGCATATGATCTGCACGATTCGCATGAGAGACCAACAAATGAGACCTTTTTTTCTTTTGGTAATGTTCGTTTAAATATTCTATTGTAAATCTTTGGATAATAAAATCCAAGCTACCACAGATCACTCTCTCATTGGCTGTGCAAGGCAGTAGAAGCAGGAAGTGATGTCATCACGTGTTACGTGTGTATGCACTTGTAGGGCAGAGCACACACACACATAGACATACACTCCAGATTTGTGGAGTAAGCACACCTTTTTTGCTCTTAGAGTGTTGATAGGGTGAATGTTAAAAAATAAAATCTCTTTGTTCTGCTGGTTGAAACATTTGCTTTTGTTCTTCTCTTGATTTGCACCATACCAGTTCATGGGCAGCTTTGCTATTTTTAATTTAATTTTATTTTTTTATTGATAACACAATGTATAGCCTCTTTATAAAATGTAGTTATTGCTGTGATATGCTTGTACAAGCACATAAAGAGCACTATTGTTCTTTTGTTTATCAAGTTTCATTTTGATCACTCTGTCTGAAGTATTAAGACGTTCTTTGCTGTAGAGGGACATTTGCTAATAATTCACTGTGAATTTGATTTTGAATGGCTTTTCAGCATTGTTTTATTGCACTGGTTTTAGCTAAAAGAAAATTGACCAGTTCATAGGGTTTGAAAAACAGAAGAATTTCACTGTTTGCTAGATTCTTTAAATGCTTGAAAGTCTCTTAGTCATTCACTTAGATCCAAGATGGCTGCTCGGCCCTAGAGCGGACATGGACTTTCACTCACTGTGTAAACTCACAAACTAGACCTACTGGGTTTTATTTTTAATCAATGGATACATTGTCACTGCTCTTACCATATGCATATCCAAAAAGATTTGCAACTCTGTTTCAATCAATGCCAAGTACTAACAGCCAAACTGTCACCCAATAAAAAGTATGTGTATTTCAAAAAATGACTCTTGTGTTCCTTGTGTATCAGAATCAGAATCAGAATTAGCTTTATTCGCCAGGTGTGTGCAAACACACGAGGAATTTGTTGTGGTTTTCTTTAAATATTAATGTATGTGTATGAAATATAATAGGAGTGACCTCATGCTAAAACATTCTTCTCTTTTAAATCTGAGGGAGGCTGAACGAGGAATTTGTTGTGGTTTTCTTTAAATATTAATGTATGTGTAGGAAATATAATAGGAGTGACCTCATGCTAAAACATTCTTCTCTTTTAAATCTGAGGGAGGCTGAATTTATACACTCTAAAAAATGCTGGGTTGTTTCAACCCAACTTTTGGGTTAAAAATGTAATGTAAAAAATTTAACCCAACTGTTGGGTTAGTCCATATTTGACCCAAAGTTGGGTTGAAACAACCCAGCATTTTTAGAGTGTATGATGTGATTAGTACAGAAACTTATGATTTCTAGAAAAAAAAGTAAGCATAAAGGTCTACAACTGAATCTAACCATTAGTGGGGCATGAGCAGATTGTATGAAAACATAGAGCTTGCATGAATTTGTAAAAATTAGCCACCAATTCACCAAAATGTAAAACAGTTACAAATTGCCATGAGAGTGTGCTGGTGATTAAAGCTTACGCAGCACAATTTATGAATTTATATTATTTTTGTCTGAATTTCTTTTTGATTGTAATTTTATTTAACCAAAACAGATCATTTCCACAAACTGTTTCGTAGATTTCTCATATAAGTGTATGGACTGTAGTGGGTGCATTATTAATATGGCCGTCCAGGGAACTATAAAAGGAATTTGAATGAACCTTAACCATAATTTTAAAATGGTTTAGTGAGTAAGCAGGGTGCTGCTTGTTTGAATTCTACGACACTCTATAATCTAAATAAACTCTATAATCTGACATCCCTGTTATTACACTTTCTTTACATCCTCTGTTCCCTGTTCAAGCAATTCCTATAAGGTAAAAATAAATACATTTTAACTGACCTCCTGCACATCAACAGGGGGTTTTAGTCCGACCTTGACTTTACAATAGATTTCTTTCAGATGAACTCATGGCAGAGTAACTTCAGTTATGTGCATCCACTGTCCCTCTTTAAAAAGGTCTTTTAATTGCAAAGGCGAATTTGCCATTTGTAAATTCTACCATTCTATACAAAAATAAAAGCTATATTCTCACCGACTTTGATTTAGTTCATTGACACATCAACTTAAAGTACATAATGGCACCAGATTTTAAGAGTTTAGAAGCCGTTTTTTATTTTCTATGAAACCATCAAGAGTATATGCTTTTGTTTAGATGGAAAGGGGTCCTTCATTTTTTGGTTTGTTTTCACAGAGTATATTTTAGGTCCTTCAGCGATGAGCTATAATGTATGAGACACTGAACTGTAACCTGTTCCATTCAATGAGGTTTTTATACTCAGAAGTGGCCACTTAACTCCTGTGTCCTGCGAAGAATGACTGATTCAGCTCAAAAGAGAAATGCCACTGTTTTCTTGTTCTGGCGAGAACATATAATTCCTGGATTATTTGAAATCAAGGACATTTTGGTCCTCTATAGACTGGTTTGACTGAAATTTGAGTGTACAGCTTATGAACAATTAAAACTTAAAGATTTCAGGGCCTTAAAGGAGTCATGAACTGAGAAATCAAATTTCATCAACTTAAAGTACATAATGGCACCAGATTTTAAGAGTTTAGAAGCCGTTTTTTATTTTCTATGAAACCATCAAGAGTATATGCTTTTGTTTAGATGGAAAGGGGTCCTTCATTTTTTGGTTTGTTTTCACAGAGTATATTTTAGGTCCTTCAGCGATGAGCTATAATGTATGAGACACTGAACTGTAACCTGTTCCATTCAATGAGGTTTTTATACTCAGAAGTGGCCACTTAACTCCTGTGTCCTGCGAAGAATGACTGATTCAGCTCAAAAGAGAAATGCCACTGTTTTCTTGTTCTGGCGAGAACATATAATTCCTGGATTATTTGAAATCAAGGACATTTTGGTCCTCTATAGACTGGCTTGACTGAAATTTGAGTGTACAGCTTATGAACAATTAAAACTTAAAGATTTCAGGGCCTTAAAGTAGTCATGAACTGAGAAATCAAATTTCCCTTGATCTTTTGACATATAATAGGTCAGTGTGCTATAAAAACATCCTGTAGGTTTCAAAACGCAAAACTTTCTTGTTAATTTAAAAATAACTTTTATTGAAACCAAGCTCAGAAAAGCGGTTTTTCAAAGATCTGCTGTCACACTTTTTGAACAATTATTATGGTTAAGCAAAGTATTAAACGCCAGCAAAATACCTACTCCGACCCCAACAAAAAAAACTACTTGGCCTATACTGGTGTGAAAGCATTCCTTCTATTCAAAACACCTAACACCAAATACAGTGTGTATTTATGTATTGGACTAAACTCTGGCCTACCTTTAGGTATTTCATAAAAGTAATTTCTGCACAGAGACAATTCCTGGCATTAGAGAAATACAATCTGATAACGAGAGAAGCCAAGCCACATTTTAGTGCTGAAAAAAATATCATTTTAAAGAGTCACACTGCCCCCTAGTGTCTGTTATATGCGTAGACGTGTGAATCGCCAGTAGTTCATTTCAGTATCACGCTGACGTCCAAGAAATTATAAAATTATTTTAAAAATGCTCAAATATTTTTTACAAATACAATAATAATACAAAATAAAAAATGTATTACTATAAATGAGCTTACAATATATTTATAATATATTTAAAATATCACAAAATATGTTTCATTATTAAAACAAAGAAAACGCATAGTCATTTTTTTATATTTTAAAATGCTATGTGTATAGAGTTAACTGACATTTCAGGAGTAAACTCAACAAAAGAACTGGCGGTGTGAGGTAGTTTAATATCATTCACTGTCCATTTGTGGGTCCTTTTCCAATGCTGAGGGTACTTTACTTGCCACTAAAACATCATCCTCACTAGTCCGCGCCTATACGCCCGGCAGGTAAGTATTAATAAAAGGATTTTATTATGAAAACCCAGCAATTATAGTTAGACTCAAGCACCCTCGTCCAGGATCCCACCCCATCTGAATATGAGTCTAAACACAAAGCACTTCTGATTCAATTTGTACAAGCGACAGGGGTGTGTGTGTGTTATTTTAACAGAGGATAGAGTGGAGGACCACTCAACTTCAAACAGGACAGGGTCTCCCTGTGTGTGTGTGTGTGTGTGTGTGTGTGTGTGTGTGAAACGCATAGTCATTTTTTTATATTTTAAAATGCTATGTGTATAGAGTTAACTGACATTTCAGGAGTAAACTCAACAAAAGAACTGGCGGTGTGAGGTAGTTTAATATCATTCACTGTCCATTTGTGGGTCCTTTTCCAATGCTGAGGGTACTTTACTTGCCACTAAAACATCATCCTCACTAGTCCGCGCCTATACGCCCGGCAGGTAAGTATTAATAAAAGGATTTTATTATGAAAACCCAGCAATTATAGTTAGACTCAAGCACCCTCGTCCAGGATCCCACCCCATCTGAATATGAGTCTAAACACAAAGCACTTCTGATTCAATTTGTACAAGCGACAGGAGTGTGTGTGTGTTATTTTAACAGAGGATAGAGTGGAGGACCACTCAACTTCAAACAGGACAGGGTCTCCCTGTGTGTGTGTGTGTGTGTGTGTGTGTGTGAGTGAGAGAGAGAGATTTAGGAAGCTTATCAAAGAGGTGAGATCATCAGAATGGCACATCAGTCAGAACTTGGCTGGTTGCTAGGGTGATAGTGAGAGGGTATCTTCAGAGGTACCGCCCACACACATCTCTGTCACCAACAGAATCATGATCTGCAGAAGTGGCCGCTTGGCACATTTTCAGCATTGTGAACCACATGTTCCTCGCCCCTCTATCAGGTAATCCTGTAATTATTTTATTGTCTGATTATTTCTTTATTTAACAGAAACACCCACAACTAAGCAATACAAGGGCCTTGAAAACTGAGATGAGGGCTGAAATTATTTAACTGGCATATCAGAAGTCAAGCTGTACATCACTAAAATGTATATCCTGTACTGTATGTGTCCAGTGATGAGAACAGAGCTGGATATCATGTTCATTATAACATTGATAAAAAAAAATGTCAGTCAAGACTTTCACATTATTACAAAACATTTATATTTCAAACCAATGCTGTTCACAAAAATAGCCTATTGGACAGAACAACATTGAAAATCACTAGAAAGTGCCCATTTTTTTAGTCCACCTCTTTTTAATTTTAGACAGGCTATCTGTAGTTTTAATGTAATATTGCAGCTTGCTTTGATATATAATGTAATATAATATTACATTTTTTAAGTGTGATTTAGGTATCAAAATTGTCTTGTTTTGACAGTCTATCTATTGTTTTAAAATTTAAAACCTAACAAATTTATTTTTGGTGAAATGTTCTGTTCTGCTTGAAAAGCTTGTCTTTCTTTCAAATAAATATTTCAGATTTTAATACTGCAATTTTCATTCATTTTCCAAGTGTCGTTAAAGCATCAATTTTAGCCTTCCACCATACAGCTCTTGAGCACAGACCATTAAGTTGATTAAGAATACTGAAACTGTGGCAAAGCCAGGAAAAATCAGCCTGAAGCTTGTTTTCAAACTTTCCATTCTGCCATTCATCATGGGAGCATGCTGTCATCTGGATATTGCTTCTGATAAGTCAACTGTAATTACTGGAATCAGAGATCTATGTTATCATTAGCTTTGTGCCCAATGAAGAAATAAGAAAAGATGAAGAGAAAGAGTGACAGAGAGAGAGAGAGATGTGTGCATATTTGAGGGCATTCAACCCCTCCTCTTGCACGGTTTAATTCAGATTCTAACACCATAATGCAGTTTTACTCGGAGCTGAAGCCTGCAGATTGTTCTGATGGGCATTGTGAGTTTTGATGGCTTAAATGAGTAAAAAGTCAGTGTGATTGCAAATGTACTTTGTTAGTGTCACCATGAAAATGGCAGCATGCCTTTTTAATGCCTTATTTTTACAGCTCTGATTATAGGTTGGGTATTCAAACAAGTGAATGAGAAAACAATGAGCAGGCAATCAGGACTTCATAAAGCAGAGAGCAGCATGGGACAGATTAATGAGAGTGCGTCACACACATACGCACTCAAGCAGCTTTTAGAAATGACACTCATGCGTGTGACATATTAAAAGAGGGCTTGCACTTTGAGCGGAGATGTGAAAAGGATCAGAGGACCGTTAACGTGTAATTTAGAGCCCAATCTGACTGCTGTTTGCACAAAAGCAACAGAAATTCTGTCAGCATCAATATGGAGAGACGTTTCACGAGTCATGTCGACCCTACGGAGGAGGAGAGGCTTTGACGGACGTGGATGGCTCATACACCCACATGTCACATACAGTAGCATTCAGATGAACAACAGTAACTGCTTTTAATTTGAGTGTTAAAAACAGTCTCAATGAGAAGAATGGCTTCAGGAGAGAAAAGCACTAGAGCTAATGGATGGGAGACATGTTGCTTGTCTATAGACTGAGTGTTAGATAAATACAAAATAAAAAAATATATATATAAATCATAAAATCATTCAAACTCTTTAAAAAAAATTGGGTTCTGACAGGGTTTGTGAAATCACAAACCAATTTTTTTTCTTTTTCTATTCTTTTTTGGGGGGCTTACATAGAAATCAATTGTAGCACTTAGTAGAAGAAGTTTAGTGTAAATATGATCACCATATGATATTGTGCATTTGGTACACAATCAGAAAAAAAGGTACCCTAAGGTACAAAAGCTACAAAGTACATATTTTTTTGCCAGCACATATTAGTACTTTAAAAGTACATATTACTACAAAAAGTGTAACTTTGCCCCAGTGACAGTTTTGTACCTTTTTTTGTTTATCTTGTTTGTGTTATGACAGTCTTCCTTGACATTTTAAATGTGAGATATTAAACCAAATCAAGCCTGGCAGGTGAGGTACTGGTAAATATGTGAAAAGGCACAGAAGACGTATGTCTTGAAAGTATTGTGTCATTAAACGCCACACTTTTAGTGTGTAATTTTGTGAAAGTGGTTGTGAAAGGATTGCCCTGCTTCATAGTGAATCTGCAGACAGAAGTGATGGTATACTGCCACCTTTTGCCCAAAACAACTCAAAACATACAACAGTTCTGAAAATCTAATAGTAGTTTAATTTGTTACAACATTACATTTAGACATTTAGCAGACACTTTTATCCAAAGCGACTTACAAATGAGGATAATGGAAGCAATGGTATGCAAGTGCTATAACAAGTCTCAGTTAGCTTAATGCAGTACACGTAGCAAGTTTTTTT